ACCCTCTTTACTCTTCCCCCAAGCAGCTCAAATGGTACCTAGTCTAAGAAGCCTTCAATCCACACACCCAGGGGGGAACTAATGCATCTTGCTGGTTTTCACAGCATTTTGTTGACCATTTTTCACATTGTATTACAATTAGCTGTATCTGCATCTGTCTTCCCCACCAGACTGTGAGATCCTAGAGAGCAAGGGCTGTTTTATTCATCTTTGTATTCCTTGTGCCTGACCCAACAGATGCTCAGTAAATGTTTGTTGACTGACTGAATGAGGTGTCTGTTCCATTTGTTGTGAATAAAGCTCTATGTTATAGTTTATAGCCAACACTCAAATTATCTGAAAATTACCTATTTTAAATTTTTCTCAGGAGGTAGATGGGAGAAAAATTTAAATAATTTCTTCAATTAAAATAATTAAAAAAAATTTTTTTTTCTCTCTTGCCCTTGTTAAAACCTGCAGGCTCCACACACAGCTTTCTCAGCTATATAGATCTGTCTATTGTATCTGCTTTGTCAGCAGGGTTGGGAACAAGGAAGAAGCTGCACCTGGCTTCATGGCTCAGATTTGTTTTCTTGGCTGCTCGGGATGCTGAGATGGTTAATAAGCAAATCAGCCTCAGCATTCAAATACGCAGTTAATAAATCCTGAAAGAGATACAAATTAAAATCCTCCAGCAAAGCCCGTAGGCAAAACCTGTGTTTTCTCTAATCTACCGAGGATTTTCTTTTCCACCATGGTATGTGAGGTTAGGACCAGATTGTGGGCAATATCATCCTCTGGGAATGCAAGAGCTTCTCATGTTGGAATATCTCCCCTTGGAGATTTCCTGACTCTATGTAAAGGATTTTAGCCAGAGGAGGAGTCATAGCAACTGGAGGTTGTGTGTACCTTGTTTAAATGACAACAGTACCTACCTGACCCCAGGTACTTGAGCTTCTTATCACAACCCAGCCTGGAGCAGAGAGTGTACAAGTCAGTGAGGCCATCCTTTTGGACCTGGTAAGTCTAGAAGCCTGCTTGTTTAAGACTGCTGTGCCCTCCGTTGGGTTTAATTCTTTTTTTCCAGGAGCTTGTCTCTCCCAAATAAGTACTCTGACCAGACTTTGGGAGAGAGCTGAACCACACATACCATACAGAACTGAATACCAGATCAAGGCAGAGGCTAACACCCAGCTGAGGTCATAATGCTCTGTTGTCCATTTTGTTTCTTCCCAGGGGAAGCAGAAACAGGAGTAGCTGTGCTCCCAGAGGGAGCCTCCTAGGAGATGGAGAAGCTGGACACTAACGCCTCAAAAGAACAAAGACTCTGCCAGTTCTCGGAGGACTACAAGCAAATCTACCTCTCTCTGACCTACAGTATCATCTTTGTGCTAGGGCTGTCCCTGAATAGCACTGTCTTGTGGCTCTCCTGGTGCCAAACCAAGCGCTGGGGCTGTGCCACCATCTATCTGGTGAACCTGATGGTAGCTGACCTGCTCTATGTGCTGACGCTGCCATTCCTCATCATCGCCTACTCCCTGGGTGACAGATGGCCCTTCGGGGAACTGCTCTGCAGACTGGTGCGCTTCCTGTTCTACACCAACCTCTATGGCAGCATCCTGCTGCTGACCTGCATCTCCGTGCATCGCTTCCTGAGTGTGTGCCACCCCCTGCGTTCGCTGCCCTACCGGACCCGCCGGCATGCCCTACTGGGTGCAGCTGCCACCTGGGCCCTGGTGGTCCTTCAGCTGCTGCCCACACTAGGTTTCTCCCACACAGACTACGTCGATGGTCAGGTGATCTGCTACGACACAACCAGCCCGGAGAATTTTGATCAGTTTTTTGCATACAGCATGGTTCTGACGTTGTCCGGCTTTGTCCTCCCCTCCTTTGTCATCTTGGTGTGCTATGCACTGATGGTTAGGAGACTGACCATTCCAGAGGACACCCTCATGAGGACAAGCAACGCGGCCCGGGCCAAGTCCATCCGGACCATCCTGCTGGTGTGCAGCCTCTTCACCCTCTGCGTTGTGCCCTTCCATGTCACACGCTCCTTCTACTTCACACTCCGTTTCCTGACCTCTCAGGACTGCCAGCTCTTGATGGTGGCCAGCTTGGCCTACAAGATATGGAGGCCTCTGGTGAGCATGAGCAGCTGCCTCAACCCAGTCCTATACTTTCTGTTGGTTGGGAACAACAGAGTCAGGCTCTTCCAGAAACTGAAGCATAACAATGTGGGTGAGCACCCAGCTGGAGCCCAAGGAGAGAGGCCCAGGGGTGGGGAGATCTGGGCACTGGCAAGATGAAGTTTAGGGAAAACGACAGTGACTTGTTTGAACACAGTCATGCTAGTGGGAGAGAGACTCAAGATGTCCTAGTGGTGTCCTGCTAAAAAGGATTTTATATTGATGTTAAGAGCTTTTAAAACAAGAATTTGGAGAGAGCCACCAACACAAAGAAAAACTGGTATTTTAATGGGAGTTGACATTTATCTCCTGTCATTCAGGTCTTGGCTCAAACATCACTCAGAAGCCACTCCAGCTCACCATAGCTAATGCTGAACTCTCTCCTCAAAATCCAGTCACTATTATACTTCCCTATTTATTGTCTAACACGTACTAGCACCTGGACTTGTTGATTACTTATTTCTCATCTGTCTCTGCCCCCTATGATATAGACTCCTAGAGGACAGGGACCTCGCCTGTCTCACTGTTGTACTCCTAGTGCCAGCCTCCACAGCAGGGCCCAGAACATAGTGAGTGCACAGTAGATAGAGAATGAATGAATGAGTGAATGACTAAATGGATGAAGTGAATGGAGAATGAACTCCTTACTATATAAGATCATTTCACAGGGAGTAACTCATTTAATCCTAACAGCCCTTGGAGGTGGGAGCTACTGTTGGGCCCCTTTACAGAGATAACGGAATTGTAGCACAGAGCTTTTAAGTCACTCGTCCCATGTCACCCAACTGGAGAACGCTCAGAGCTTAGTGTTGGACAGAAGTTTTGAACCCAGGAACTGATCTCTGAGGTATGTACTCCTGAGACTGAAGCATATGGCCCCATCTAAAGGCTGGTCAAGAGCCATGGCCAAGTTTCCTTTGACAGCACCAGCTCACTTGTTTACATGACCGCTACTATCTGCAGACCACGGGCATCTTCTACTGCACGTCTCAACCAGTGTTCTGGTTAAGGTGAGAAAAAGCTCTGAGAGATAAAGTGGGAGATACAGGCTAAAGTGACTACATGAACGATGACCACATGCTGTCCCAGTTTATGACAAAAAGAACAGTTTTATCATGGTCTTAAGTCATAATATGTTCATTCACTAAATATATACACACACACACATATATATATATACATAATCCAAGGTAATCCAAAAAGATAACCTTAAAAAAAGAAAAAGCTCTCATACTTAAAGAATCACGATCTTTAAGGAGTTCTCAGATTTAAACATACATTATTGTATAATTCATTACAGTCTATGAAGAGGTAGACAAGCCTTTTTCATAAACCGAAGTGGAACCCCTCATTACTATCCCAATCTAATTACAGGAAATGTCTGAATAAACCATGTATGTGTCTAAATTATAAATTTTTACTCTAAAAATACAGTTTATTGCTTCCAAGGGCACACAATAATTAGAACTAGACCAAGTGTTGCCTAGCAGAATTCCTTAGCATAATTAGTTTAATGAATAGGCAAGGATGTTTTCTAATTAGCAGGTCAGCTGTTTCCACATAAGTAAGTGCTTCTACAGCAGCTGAGAGCTTAAAACTGCTTGCTCTTTTGAACATTCTATCAGCTTACTTGCTTATCTTATTAATTTTAGTCTCTTTCTTTGCATAACACACAGGGAAGATTCAGCCAACTTACAGTCCCTTAGAAATTAATAAAGGTTAACATCACTGGTGACCTGGTGTACCAAGCTCCCCGCAAAAAGCTGAAAGCCATCCCACAACCCACATCTCACGCAGCCATTACTTGTAATGCCCAGCAGCCTGCCAGCCCTGGTGGTGGGAAGAAAACTTACCTAGAATCCTCGCGATGCATTGAATTTACCTTAAAAGAAAGTGCTTTACACCCCTGCCAAAGTTTTCCAGTCTTTAGTCTCTGTTATATGGACTTTTCTGATCCATATAATGCTAATTTAGCTTCAGCAAAGTCTTTTGACCTTCTTGACAGTGAAGTATAAGTATCCGTTTTTAACTTATTTCTGGATAGTTGGGATCAAAAAAGGTAATTTAATTGACATTGTATTCTGGTTTTCAGGGACAGTTATCTCAAGACATAAGAAACGAACCAGACTATTCCCTTTGGGGAAAAGGACCCACTGCTGAACATAAATCAGGAAAATATATCTGTCTCTCTCGTAGTTATTGAAAACTCACCAACAGAAAGGAACAAGTAGACTAAAAGTAGCAAAAGTTCTTCTTGAAAATACCTGGGCAATGCCCACCATCCTAGCGAAAGTGGGCATCTCCAAATACGTTATCACCCTGGGCCCTAAGCATTGCATAATCTTCCTGGTTGTTTGGTCAGGTTAAAATAAAATCAAAAGTCAGAGAATGCTATCATGTACAAAATACTGTAAATGGGGTAGTACTTGATGAAATGTAACGGCTATAGCCTCCTACAAAAATATCAAGCCTGGTGCCAGCCCTTCAGGAGGTTAGACTGTTGGAGAAACAAAATAAAAATATATGTACAAACAATAATATGTGCACTAATTAACAATTTCATCAGCTACGGAAGAAATCATGTCAGTCATTGATTAATCCAAATGAACAACACAGACATAAGTATTAAGGAAGTTTCAGGGGTGGGGGTGGAGGGAGTGAGGGCACTTTCAGCTGAGAGACTCATGAAAAGAGTTATGAGTCTGCTGAAGGCTAGGCAAATGTCAATTATTAGGATTCCCCAAGCAGTGGAGAAAATGTAAAATTTTTGTGAGAGCCAATGGTTGGTTCCTGAAGGTAGCGGGTAGAGACAGTGCTAGAAGGGTGGGCACCCCAAGGCCAGGGAAAGCAGCACTCCTCAAGGCACAGGGAACCACCAAGGGCATTTGAGCAGGACAGTGATATGATCAAAGCTGTGACTTAGAAACTTAATCTGAAGGCCCCCCCATTTTCTACAATTTAGAAAAAATAAAAAGCAAACTTCTTCAAGGTCTCCTAATTGGTCTCCCTTTCTTTCAAAGACATCCTAATAACACCTTCAGATTTTCTTTAAAACAGCATTTTTGTCAGTTTTCTTCCTATATCATCATTTCTACTCAATAAGGCTCAGATTTCTCCTGCTGGCATAGAAGAGCCATCACAGTCTAGTCTCAACTGAACTTTTCAACTCACAGGCCTCCTACCATTCTCTGTGGATCTCCACTTCCCCGCCCCCCATGTTTGCCATAGGGCTGCCATCCACCATTCAACGCCTCCCAACCCCACAAAAACAAACAAAAACAAACAACAACAACAACAAAAACCTTCTCCAAATGCTTAAGTGCTCATCTTCCCAGAGCATGAGTTCTACTTCCTCCATCTACTTCCTATCTCACTTTGCATTGCTGATTCATCCACTGGGCTTACCACCCTGGAGCTGATGATGGGACCCTTTATCATCTCAGTCTGTTTTATCTCTCCCACTATTTGATCTTTCAATCTACAGAACATGGCATCCTAGCAACACTGTGAACATGACAGACACTCAATAAGCAATGGTGATGCTGATAATGGAGGCAGAGGAAGGTGACCAACATTTAGAAGACCACTATAGTAATCCAAACATACAGAGAATGGGCATGAATAGAACAAACAAGATTTTAAAATATATTGGACAGAATGAAGAAAAGCACAATGATTGTTTAGACACGAGTGGTAAGGGAAACACTGGTTCCAAGTCTAAGGAACCAGAACTAGAACCTAGCACATAGTAGGCGCTCAACTGTCACTGGGGAAAGAAAAGGGAGGGAGAGAGGAAACAAGGCTGTGCATTACAGGAGGAGAGTTCAGACTCAGACAAGTTCAATGTGAGCTGCTAGTGAGACAAATTGAAAATGTAGAAAATGGAAGATCAGAGACAGCTTAGGCTCAAGCTCTGGGTTTAGAGTTATCTGTCCAGGCAAACAGTCAAAGCTGAAATGGAAATGATATCGCTGAGGAAGAAGGGGAAAGAAAGAACAGAGGACCTAGGAGATACAGGAATCACATAAAATTATGACAGAGAGAGGAGGTGGTGCTAGATAATAAAGCACTGGGAAATCAAATGAGGGAACAGTTCCAAGAAAGTAGTCAAGGAGAATGCAATAGACTAATCAAAGAAACTAATATCAAAAAGACTAGTCAAAGAGAATGAACAGTTGTCTTTCAGCAAACAACTCAAATGCCACCTCTTCTAAGACACCTCCTCTGATCACCCATCAGAAGGCCCTTTCTCTTCTCTGACCCATCATCCACACCTCTTAGAGGACATCCCCCCTTCTACCAAGTGTGAGCGGCCTTATTTAAAGCCTCTTACCACACACTCCCAAAGAATCCAGCAGAGGCTTGAACATATGGGTACTCACTAAATTTTTGTGGAACAAATGAATATACAGCAAATGATTCTCCTATGTATGCTTTTCTGGAATTACTGCCTAAATCCATTCATGAATGTGTGCCTATAAAACAAAATGACAAGTTGCTTGGGATTTATTTGTTCTAACACTGAACTCCAATTCAATGCAGTTCTAGGACACACAATACCTGTAAGCATTCTCACTTTTTAGCCCACATTTCAAAGACAATAAAGAGGGGAAATGTTTTACGAAGTAATTTGCAATTAAGCATAAGCTAAGCTTATAAAGTTGTGTATTCTCATTATCTTTTACTTTCTTGTAAACAGGCCAAATCTCTTTAGTATTTCTATGTCTCAACTTTTTGTTGAGGTCTTTTTTTTTTTATGTACCAAACAACTACAAAGATAATAACCCGAAGAAGAATTCCATGATAAGAGCAGAACTTATGTTCTTGCAACAAGCTATAACTGGGCATTTTTATAGTGGTTAAATCATGAACAAAAAGCAAAAAGCGCCACTCCAAGAAAATTAAAGAACAGCAGAATCTGAGAATGTTCCACTCTACAAGTAGAAAAACACATTAACGAGATCTTTATAAAGCATTAACCCAACAAAGAAAAAGCCACTGAAGAATCCCTCTGATCTTTTTTTTTAGCCTAGTTTCTTGCAAGAATAGGTTACACTTTGTATTGCAATTTCTACCTTGGATTTATCCCAAGTCATCCCGAGCTGGCTGCTGCGCATCCTACTGAAATTGGGATGCATCAATGACTTGCCAATTATAAAATGAATGGATACTTACAGGCCCTATCCTGTTTAAGATTTCAGGGCAACTGCCACTGTCACCCATGCCCTTCTCAAATTCTCCTCTGCTTCCACAGAACGCACCCTCTCTCTTGCTTCTCTCCGCACCTCGTCCTGCTCTCACCCTGTGCGGGTGGGTGAGCCTTAGGACACTGTCCTCAGCACTCTTCTCCCCTCATTCCTACTCTCTTCCTGGGCAATCTCACTGACTCCCTGAGAGCCCTACCGATGGCCTGGAAATCCTCTCTCCTATTTCAAACCTATGCTTCTGTCCACACAACAGTCCCTCAGGCACTGCAAGCTCCATGAAACCAAAACTGAAATCATTTTCCTCTGAAATCTGCTCTTTCTGGTTAAATTGAACTACAATCCATCCAAGCCAGAAATCTGAGAGTCACCCTTACTTTCGGCCTCTCCTCCAACCTCACATTGTCATGATCACATTGTCAGTTCAACCTCTCGAGCGTCATTGGAACTTGTCCTTTCCTTTCCATCTTCACTGCGTGAGTTCAAACTCCCATCATCTCTCTCGAGCTTCACTGCTCCCACCTACAAACTGTTCTCCTTACTCCAGATTTGTTCCCCTTAACCTCCAATTCATCCCTTTCCTTCTGCTTTTGGGGTCATCTTTCTAAATGTAAATCCCATCTTAGTCCCCAACAAAAAAATCTTCCAAAAGCTCCCATTTGCCTTCAGGATTAAGATCAAAATGATAAACATGGAATGAAAGGCCCTCAGCGATCTGCCTCATATCAAAGCTTAAAACCTACACTCTCCACGTGCCCCCTTCACTCCACCTGCATTAACTTAGCAGGCTCTCTCAGGATTAGCTCTGGGACCTCTTGTCCTCCCTACTCTCACCCCATCCCTGCTCTGTTTAGGTGAGTCGACCTACTCATCCTTTATAATGCAGCTCAAAGACTATGTCCTCTGGGAATCTTAGGCATACTGTAGGTTCTCTGAACCTCATTAGCCGTTGCTCTGTGACAGTGCTCATCACACTGTATCACAATCCCAGGGTTACTGGTTCTCTGTCCATTTCCCCAACTCACATATGCGACTCTTGAGGAAGGTGGTCCACATTTTCCACATCTCCAAACCACCCCCTTTGCTAAAGAGCCTTAGGTTCTATGATGCCAGAAACAAAGGATGACATAGAAATCTGTGCACATCCTACATTATCATCGTTACAGCATTATGCTTGGTCCTCCCCACTACCATATTTTTTGAATAGCAAGATGCGGTCAAAGATAAGATATATCCCAATTTCAGAATTGTTAAAGTAATGGCATCACAAAAACTATACATATTTTGTCATCAGATTAGAAATGCATTTTAAAAATCCAAGTGCTGGAAAATAAACCCAAACTGAAATAACTCTTAAAGGGAGCACATATATACGTTATCTTAAAATATTACAGTATTTTCCCTTTGAAATATTCAATAAGGAACTGTTTGTTCTATATCCCGGTTGTGATAGCCAGAACGCAAATCTATCATCTACTAAAATTCACAGGACTATAGAACCACAGAACACATTTTAAATGTCCGTTATATATGCCTGTCCTCTTAGGCTCATTCCCCTGGCTCTTCCATCCGCCAAGTCTGGACTCCACCTCCACGGACCCCAAAGGAACCCAAAGAGGACACATATTTCTGCGACTCTCCATTTCATGAGCAATGACTCTAAAATCTGAGATGACCTCTCTCCAGGCCCTTTTCACTACCTCCATGTCTCAGCCCAGGCTTCTTGTTGCTAATTAAGGCCGTTCTTCCAGCTGTTTCTCTCATCCCAGCTCCCCCAGGTCCACTGCTGCCAGCTCAAAGCTAGCCTCTCTCCTCTCTCATCCTCCTCCCACCTCACTCCATTGACTGTCCATCTCCTGTCCACTATACCCTCTGAAATCGGGACTCTGTTGGGGTGGGGAGGAGGGAGAAGGATTTGCCTTTTGTCCTAACACTTTTATTTACCTCTTCCCCAGGGCAGATAGGGTCTGCTTTGAAAGGTCAAAAACTACCTGAAAGCAGTAAGACATAGAACCCCAAAATAATATTTTCCTTGGAAAATTGAATAAGCCTCAATATTGGCGGGGGTGAGGGGGCGCGGGAGGGAGGAGCAGTGGGATGAGCCTTGCAAGAAGCTTGAAAGTGTCACCAGCCCCATACTTTCAGCTATTTATGAACAATCCATTGTTATCCTAGAAATTTCTGGGCATGCTTCATTTACTTGCCAGAGAACCCAAAGGAATCTGAATGCAATCCTAGGAGGGTCCATATTGTCCAATATATCAACTAATCCACTAAATGCAAGGAATGGATAGATATTTCTCTAGACAATGTTTTAGGTCATCCATTAATGACTACACATCTAACATATGGTAATTAACCATATCTTTATGTTTCATAAACTAAGAAAGTGAGTGTTAAAAGGAACTCTAGTGATATTCCATTGTTAATCAGGAAATGGAAGCACAGAAAGCTACTACCTAGTAAAACTCACGAGACAAGCACGGGAGGTGATCTTCTTCAAAAAGACAAAAAAGACAAACTCCTGCAAAGCACACATTAATCCCAAAGTGAATGGCTCATAGGTCCAGTGATTTTCATTACGCAACTGACCTGCAGTCAAACCTATGGGGGAAATCAGTTTAGGGAGCAGAGTAAGCTTATCAGGGAAGCTGCCATGATGTTGGTCTCAGTGGTAGCAAAGAACAGCTTTATTGGTAGGGCCAATAAAGACCTACCAGGGAGAAGACCCATCACTTGAGTAATGACCATACACGTGAACACCTCAGGGAATTAAGTGGTAATAAATGCGTAATAAGTTTGGCTGTCTGGCCTGCATGCATGATCAAAAACTTTTCAGTATTTCTTTAAAAACATCAAAGTTTTCCCCCATCAACCTCTAGGCAGCAAATCCCTGCTCAGAGTCTAAGCTCAACCACCCCTGCCACCCCCTCCACCCCCAGGAGGGCACTCCAAGAACAAGCAAAGGGAAGAAGCCAAGTGGTGTGAGGCTGAGGTGGAGGTATTCCAGAAATCAAGGACAATTTAAAGCTGTTCTTTGCTATCACTGAAACCAAAAAATAAGTGCCTTATTTCATTTAGCCCATACCCCATTCTCTATTGTTTTCTCTCCTATGGTTCCCCTCACATGCAAGTTTCTTCCTGTCAATGCAAATTCCATTTCTAACTCCAGGCCTTGTTTAACTCCCACCTACATCCCCAAAGTTCTTTGGAAAAAAACACCTATTACTACCTCCCTTCTGAACCCTAATACCATTTTCTTCAAACAGTAGCATTCAAATTTGTGTTGAATTTCCTTCTCTGTGTTTTTTTAACTTTTATTACACAGTATTTATTGTTGAAAAATTAGAAAATATAAATAAGCCAAAAGAAAGTCTTCACCCAGATATTTATGTACCTATCCTTCAGACATGTTTGCGTTTTCACAAAAATAGCAGCAGCACTCTGAATCTTCTGCATAATGCCATTGTTCCATGTCAGTATGCTCTCTAATGAAACCATTTAATGACTGCTTAATATTTCACTATAAGCACATGGTACGATATACTTAACAAATATACTTAACAAATAGGAGTATTCTTATAAACGTGGATGTCTTCCCACTTCAGGCTATTACAAGCAATCTTGCAATGAAGAGACTTCCTTAAGTATATTTATGTATTATATGTCTAATGGTTTCCTTAGGATAAATTAGAAATTCAATTGCTATGCCAAAAGGCATGTGGCCCAGTCTTTTAGGTCTTGTTATTTATACTGCCAATTTATCCTTCGAAAAGTTAACCTAACTTATTCTCCTTATTTATGCATCATTCAAAAAATATTTATTTTTGCCTACTTTGTGCTAGGCACTATCAACGCAATCAAGATAACAGACACAGTCCTTGCCCTCAAGGAATTTATAATCTAAAGAGACAGAAACCCATACCACCACAAATTCTTCAATACAAGTAGAGGTAAGCTAAGAAGGAAAAATATAGGCTTTTTCCAAGATCACAGGAATTTTAGAAGAACCTGATATAGCATGAAGGGTCTGGAAGAGTTTCCACAGGAATAATGCTTCTGAGCTGGGACTAAGGTTTCCTATTGGAAATCAGGTGAAACCAGGTTGCAGAGCATCCTGGGTAATATGTTTTAAGCAAAGGGATCAGGGTGGACAAAGCCCCCCAGGAAGGGAAGGAACATGACCCATTTGAAAAAAATCTAAGCAGCTCAATGCAACTGGAGCACAGAGGTAGAGGAAAGATTAAGGCAAGGGCCAGACCACACAAGTCCTCCGGCAGTGGACATCCTGCACTCTCCTCAACTGGTGAGGCCAACATTCGACAGCCATTAAAAGTCATGCTGCCTTCAAAGCCTAAAGAGCTAACAAATGAAAAATGACACGATAAACTATAAATCAGAAAAATAAACTTATCTTGAATAAAAAATATGCATCTTTAATTTAATGTGTTCCAGAACTTTTAAACATACAGTGTTAGGCCATGTACTTGAAACAATACAATTGGCTAATTCATTAGTTTAATAGTTGTCTAAAATATCTGCACACCCACAGAGAGTAAAACATATGAAAAATTCCTTGACTTGAATATGCTAAGACTGAGTCAATTAAAAAGTGTTTTAAGTCTGTCAGAGAAATTTCACATCTGTATTTTATTTATTTTATTTGGAGAAAAAGCTAATCCCATAATCTTTCAATGACTATAATTAGGCAAATTTTCTTTATTCCAACACAGATTTTCTTATAATCTGCCACATAAATAAGAGTTAAAGTTAGAGTTTTAAGAATTTTTTCAAAATTTAAAAGTTAGAAGACATTATTTCTTTTACAGTGTTTTTATTTATCCATGTAGATATGCAATTATCATACTTTAAAGGACATTTTAAAATAATTAACTATAAAAAAAAACTGTACAGAATGTTTGTACCACAAAATCATGTTCCCAAGTGATTAAGGTGCTCAGCACTGGAGAGATAAAGCTCAAAAGGGTCACTGCTCAGCAGCCTCTCATAACTAAAGGAGCAGAATACAATCTGCTACTTGCGAAAATGAAGAGACTTCATAAAAATAACTTGTAAACATTCCCTATCATAAAAGGGAATGCCTATTAAAATGCCATAGTTTATTCTGTGTGAAACATCCCTCTACTCCCTCAAAAAGCTTTAAAAATTTTTTTTTGCTTTAAGATGAAAAGGTCATATCCCTAAGATTTACTTTGTGAAAATGATCTCAATACGAGATCCAATGATTTCTATTATTTACTGTCCTTACTGAAGTTCACCTGCTTGTTCCAGAGCAATTTTCTAAACTTCATTGTTGATTAGCCTATTCTAAAGAATTCTTCAGCAACACACAAAAGACAGAGAATAAAATAGTCCTCACGAACATACTTTGAAATAGGTGTATTTCCAGACCAGTTTTTCCTAATGACTATACTCTAGATTAAAAAAAAAATTTTAATAAATGGAGGTTTTCAAACCAATGATATGTGCAGCTCATTCTCATGACAGTCCTTTAAACTTCTCATCTGCAAAACACAATGCAATAAATTATGAAAAAGAGGAGGAAAAAAACGTAAAGCCCATCTGGTTTACAAAATGAAAACCATAAGCATTACAAAACATGTAGTGCCAAGTATTAGAAGTTACACGTTTTGCTGAATAATCTTTTAAATTCTCTTGATCATAAAAGCAACGATGTAGAAAATGTGGAAAATATAGAAAAGCAAAGAAAAAAGTCCTGTAACCATACTATTTAAATGGAATTGTTAACATTTAGGGGTTTTTCTTTTAGTATTTTTTCTATTATGTACAAGTAATAAATAGGTTTAAGAAATACACATGCCTGCATACATTTTTTAAATTAAATTAGAATATATCTACATTTTTGTCTTTTGCTTTCATAATATATGGCATGTTACATATCTTTGATTTTAAAAATCCTTCTAAAAAATAATTTTTAAAATATATAGATGTGTCATAACATATTTAATCATTTCCCTACTTTGGGACATTTACATTGTTTCCAATTATCTGACATATTAAACAAAACTGTCTAAAGATATTTAAAACTTGTAACACTTCTGATTATTTTCTTAAAATATATTTCTAGAAGTTGAATTATTACGTTAAAAGGGAATCTGAGATGGCCAAGCATCACCCATGAAACAAGCCTTGATCTAGCAGATTTTAAACTATGCAAAATTTACAAAACTTAGTTACATGGTATATATTTAAAGATAAATTCTTAAATAAAAAAATTAAATGTCTAAAAAATTAGAAATAACATGAAATATAATCACTATTATGTTTTAATATACAGTCATGGAAAAATTTAATTTAAATTAAATCCCAAACTATATACTTTAACCTGTTTCAAATGAGTCAGGGAAGATGAAAAATTATCTCAACTAGTTAAGAAAAACAAAATATCAGAGAAGCTAGAAGGGTGAGTCTAGCACAGAAACTTAGGACAAACACCTTTCCTTTGATAAATTACAAATACATCTCTCTCTCAGAAGGCAATTTAAACCCGAATATTTTTTCCCCTTCATCTTAACTCTTAATGAATTTTTAAATTTTTAAATTTTCTGACATAAACAAGAATTTTGTTACAGCATTTCTGGAGGTAATTGTTAGCTCTTGAAAATCAAGAAACAGAATGATTTCTTAAACATCCAATCCCAATATCTTGAAATAAAATGCTAATGTTTAAGATTTTAAAAATAAGGACAACTTTTCTTTCTAATACTTACTCAGCATGAGAAAGTTTTATTTCTTCTCTTTGTCTTGCAGAATAATTTAGGTTCCCACCTAAAACACAAATGAACATAGAATCTTTTCAATATAACTATTGTAAGTAAAATTCAAACGGCACACACATACTCTTGCATTGAAATACCCTAAAGTAACAGAAAAGGCTATGGAAGATGAAAAGAAATAGTTTATCTGCTGGAACTTTCCCAAGGGGAAAAAAATGTTTTTTAAGAATCCTTATATGGGACAAATAACCATTCCTTAATTTTAGCATTCTTTTAAGTTTGGACTTATGTATTGCTTCAGGTTTTGTTAATTGGGACATTATATTAATATTCAGTAATAGTGAAAATTAAGAGAAATTAAAGGAAATGACCTAAAGCTATTTAAACATGTGTATACGTTCTTCTAAATGCATAATAACCTTTATGAGTAAGCCAGTTAGAAAAACTGATAAAGGTAACACCAAACTCTTAGAAAGAATGAAGAAAAAAGCACAAATGCATGCAGTATATATTAGCAAAAGGAAAAAATCTGCAATTTCTCATTCTATATCATGCACTTGCAATCACAAAATACACGTTTCAGCTATAAATCTTTTTAAATATAAAACAATAATACAGGAATGGCTTTAAATTATTTTAAAAATGCTTCTTTATGCTAATATATTTTTTGCTAGAATAAGAACATTCAAAATTTTATATTACAAAACTTAAATTTTATATTACAAAACAAAAAGAACATGACAATTTCAAGAAATATGAAGGTCCAGAATACATAATTATATGTTATATAATAAATGTTTCCATTGCTATGAACAGAATGTCACTGATACATGAACTAGAGCACTGGCCTCTTAAGAGGCACTCAGATAATCCAGTGACCCCACAAGATGATCCATCATAGTTTAAGAAGAAAATACTTGAACTTCTATTTACCTCGAGCACGATTCACCAAATAGAGTAAGACCACAGCTAAGAGTGACACTGGAAGTGAAAAAAAACACAGGGCCCTTAAAAAACAAGTACTTCTTCCCAATGATTCCTATGTAATTACGATTACAAAGTAAAACTTAGACAAATCAAATAAATCATTATTAACTAGTATTTAAAAATAAAAACACTATTCACATTATTTTCCAAAAAGCACTAAAAATAAGTTACACGCCATTTTCTCCAGTGGCTACCTGAGCCCAGGGATGGCAAAGCCAGAAACAAAGAAGCTGAGACCCCCACAGGAGAAAGGGCTGATCCACCCATGGGTCATCCCCGCTGCTCTTTCCTCTCCCTTTGTAAGTGCTGGTCCTTCCTGGCACTTACCAAAAACTCATGCAAGCCCCTAGACTGTCTACCTTTTCCAGAGAGCCATAAAGTAATCTTTTGGGAGTTTTAGGTCTGAAAACACCACATCCATTTTACAAACATCAGAACATGGTCATTAGACTCCCCGAAGCCATGAGCCAGAGCAAACCTCAGAAAGTCAGGTGCTTGGCTTTGTACTTTAACAAGAGAGGCACACTCGAACAACAAACATTTTTTTTTTAAATGGCATGGTGTTCAGTTTGGGAACCATACATGTATGGAACTGCGACTTGAAATTAAACCGCATTTGCAGCATCAAAAATAAGACAAAAGCACTTTCGTGAACCAGTATTTTAAGTTCTTATATGACTCACTTTTAAAAACAATGTTTTCAAATTTGATGTGCTTATTTCTAAAATTGAGATTTTTTTTCTAAAATTATGATAATAAAATGTATTTAGGCTATTCATAAGCAATTATCTGAAAGTATAATTATACTTCAAGTATAGATAGTCACTATTCCCTCTAAATGAAAATGAAGTCTGATAATATCATCTCTGGGGTATGACATTTTAAATATATGTTACTGAAATATAAAAGGCATCTTAATATATGAGAATTTTTTTCAGATGAACACAATTTAGTTTTCAATAGTTTCCCAATGCTTCCTATTTTTTTACCAACAAATCATTACAGGTGAAAATTAAAAAGACTAAGAATAAAAGCAATTTAAAATTGTCTAATGATCTAACTATGAGCATTCACACCTAAATCACATCAATGTCCACACATTCACACCAGGAACATACTCAGAACCCTTCAACAGTTTTACTTTAAAGGGGAAAATGTTTTTTAAAAAACATAAATATTCAAAATAGAATATAAAACAGATTCCACTGCTGCCTTTAAGGATAGAAATCTGAATAATGCCTGTGAATCTTCAGGGAACTGGAAAGTCAGCAGTTGGGAAATTGATGCACAGGCTAAGAATTATGCAAATCTAAGACATAGATCTTAGAAATTTGGTTTAAAAGAGAAGACAACAACAATGACAACAAAAAACTAAAAGTATAAATAAGCACATTCTGCTACATATTAAAAGAAACTAAATAAATGTTGCCACATGGGACACTTACAAGAAACACAGGCAATGAAGAAAACCTCCAAAAACAAATATCCCTTAGTATCCAGTATCATGCCAGCAATGATGGAAATGACTGCCAACCCAAGATTCTGAATGGACTGCATGCTACAATTCAAGAAATATAAAAACACATTTCAATTTTAAGTCTTCACATACAGAGTAATAATTCACTATAAATAATAGTATTTATAAATCACATACTGTTAGTATTAAGAGATGTTTTCAACCAGGGGTGACCTGATAAGATTTTTTTTTTATCCCACATCTCCTCTACTAGATTTCATGCTCAAAGATAAGGGAGCTTGCCTTATTAAGTGCAGTATGAA